AAGGCATCGAAAATCAAATTCAAAAATTCAAATTCATTCTACTTGCGTGGTCATTCCTCACAGACTGCAATTTTTGCAGACGGCTAGGAAGAAGCTCTTTAGATTGTTGGCATCTTCATTTGACTGTAATATCATTGGATTCTGCTGCCGATCATCAATATTGCAGCCTAACCTGAGTTATCTTTTAGAATCCGAGACATATTTCACATTCCTAGTCAGCATTTAACGAGACAACAAATCCGCTGTCCAACAAACATATTTCATGATATCGTTAGGTCTAGCCTTGCGTCTTTCGGAAATGTATTTGGCAAGAATGATTTCTAAATGCTTCAAAAAGAAAACAAGAATCAAAAGCTGACGTCAACATTTCAAAATGATATGGCGAAGGATCCCATTGTAGTCATGTATTGCAGGGTTTCAGTTGCAAATATTTTCTGGTAATAAGTACTGTTTTCATACTGAAAACTGTAGAAAGAAATAACAAAATAGCGCCCATTTGTTTAAGTAAATATGACATAACACTCACTTAAAAGAAGAGAGAGGTTGACAGCGCCAATTATTGCTAGCAGCGATTGGTAGTCGTTCCGACAGTGATGTTCAAACCCGAAACGTCTTTTCATTCACTTTATCCTACTTATCAAAAGCAGTAACACAAAACGCCATTGCTTTAGGTGTCACCAGCGATATTCACGTCGGTTCGTCACTTAAAAAGTGGGTCAGTAAATAATGCAATGTCTCATAAGACACCCCGAGGAGAATAGCCCTCTCGCTTCAGAAAAAAAGATGCGAACGCTGAAACTATGCGTTTATTGGTCCGACGTTTCGGATTTTTACTCGGATCTATCAGTAGAGACAGTTGTAGTTAAGAATAATGGAGCCACAAGATGCGCGGTATTTTGAGATACATTCGCCATGCAACCACATCCCTATTGTCAGCAGCACCCTAGGTCATCGCTGTGAGTCGCATTTAATGCGATGCTTGATTGTCAGTCCGCACCAAAGTTGATCTTCATGATTTTATCACCGACTCTGGTGAGGAACAACGCGCAATGATCGCACCAAATAAGACCCACAGAGATGAACGCGGATGCTGCTGACTGCAAGTACATTTTCACATGACAACTGCGCCCCATAAATACTGCATTCCTTGTAACTTGGATACTCTTAACTGCGACCGTCTCTGATGATAGATCCAGAAGGTCAGGTCAATAGACTTGTTCTTCCAGCCATCGCATCTTCTTCTCCCGAACTGCTTCCTGGAAGTCGCCTGTTCGTCTTTATCAGGCATCTCACCACTTAACTCAGATAGAAGGCCAATCTTAGGAGATTTATCAAACGGTGCCTACTTAACAACCCCGCCCAGTGCACGCGAGGCTAACGCAATGGAGACACCCTTTGCCTTAATCACAAATCTTCCGGAAACAACAAAACGCATAGTAGCTGACGCCGGCGGCATTTCAGACATTTCTTACCAAAATGATAAAATTCTGGAGGCACTCAAAGCGGAAATTTATTATACAAACAGAAATGCGAGTTCTGGAGAGTAGTAGAGAGAAGGGAGACGTGATTGCTAAACAGGAATTTCACAAGAAAGCTAAAAAACTTATTGGCGGATCATTATTTCTACGCTCTGCACAAAAAACAACTCTAAAAAAGCTAACATGCGAAATTAGCACAACGCTGCTGGCACCGAAGAACTCATGCGCAATATCGTCGACTAACCGATGCATGTTGGGAGTGCATGAAACCGCCTTGGTATAATTCGGGGGTTTTACCAAATTGCATACAGTGGGCGTTTCCTTCGCCGAACCTAGCACCAAAAGGCACTAAAATTCACGGCAAGATGACGTGAGTCTCCCAACAAACGAACTCATGGAATATTTTATTATTATGTCCCACGTCTCTCCTATTTTTTAGAAACTAGATAGTGAGATCTTCGAGCAACTTCAACGAGACAAATAAAACAAAAGGATAGATTGCCTCGGACAGACCAAGATCCTGCAACTGACGTTCTGTCTCAGGCTATACTGCGTGTTCGATGGCACACTATGCAAACAGGTAAAAAGTATACAAATGTTTTCATTGATTTTGAAATTCGAATAAAAGACGGTCCCGTAACGGTCGAAGTGGCCGATCTTCCACCACCACAAACTGAAGTTCTGAGCTTGGTATTTAGACGATACTTTTGTCTTCATCGAATGGGTTCGGATGATGGCACTCAGTAAAAATCTCAATACCGATTTTCTAGACATTGAGTTTACAATGGAGGGATCGAAAATAACGAACTGATTTTCCTCTATGCCTACGTCTGCTGCGACCATTCTGCCGGTTTAGAATCTAAATCGTTCCGGAATGGGACAAATGAGGCGCCAGTACTGGAATTCAACAACAACTGTGCAGTCAGACGTAAACGCAGTTGCGCTAGGGTGCTCTGTTGGCGCCTTGTGACGCACATCAGTGAACCAGACGACAGGGTTGCCTAATTGAAATTCCTTCTATTTGTGCCCGTTAGTAATGCTTACCAGCGTAAACTCATCAACTACTGGATGTGCAAACGAGGCGTGAGTTCAGAGCTCATCGGCACCAAAATTTACGGAGCGCCCCCTATTATAAAGCGTTTCAAAAGCCGCCGGGCACCTTCTTGCACTTCTAGGGATTTGCTTTTTGCGCAAACTGGAGGCAAACTTGAAGTTTACCGCACTGAAACCGCTACGACGATAAGTAACGCCTGGAGTTATTTGCTGGATTTGGTATAGTTGTGAGCAAAAGGACTACAGTGCGTGACCGATCTCATGAAATGTTGGCAAAAACTCTGGAATGCGTTTCCGATTAGGATGGGCTACTTAAGTGGGGTTGTTATACTGATTATCATGCTGCATAAATCTATAACATTTCGGACTCGCCGGGATGTCGACTTTTGAATGCACTTCTTTTTGACCTCCTACAGCAAGCACACTCGGTAGAAAATGACTACTTAATAAGCATGCATTTTTCCTATTGATTTTCGATGGTCTTATAAATTCAAATATATTTTACGGAAAACATGCATAAAAATATGCTTTCTTTTACTCAATGGGAAGGAAATCACATTGTCTTTATACTTTATGCTCGAAGAAAGTGTATAGTTAAGTTTTAAAAAAGTTTCTCAATTACCGAATAATTTTCAGCCTGATCTGCCGTTGCATCAGCGTTTAGCAATTTCAATCTACAAGGTGCTTGCTTTCCGCGTAAGGAAAATCATATATCACTCTATACATTTAAGAAGATACTACACAGAGTTCATGAATTTTACAATGGATCCGGACTATGTTGTACATTTCATGAGGAGCATTAGTAAACGGACAAGTGCGGTCTTGCATGCATGGACATCGCACGGTCTTAAAAATCTCATAATTAGAAACTTTTTAAAACTTAAATATACACTTTCTTCGAGCATAAAGTATAAATACAATGTGATTTCCTTCCCGTTGAGTAAAAGAAAGCATATTTTTATGCATGTTGTCCGTAAAATATATTTGAATTTATAAGACCATCGAAAATCAATAGGAAAAATGCATGCTTATTAAGTAGTCATTTTCTACCGAGTGTGCTTGCTGTAGGAGGTCAAAAAGAAGTGCATTCAAAAGTCGACATCCTGGCGAGTCCGAAATGCTATAGATTTATGCAGCATGATAATCAGTATAACAACCCCACTTAAGTAGCCCATCCTAATCGGAAACGCATTCCAGAGTTTTTGCCAACATTTCATGAGATCGGTCACGCACTGTACGCCGGACAGACTGAGGGATTTGTCTGTATGTGGAGAGCTGGACATGCGGCAGTAGGGAGGTGAAGTGATGCCATTTGTCGGGACCCAGCGCCATCTTCGATTTCAAACAGGCCCAGTTTTTTTAAAGAGCTGTTTGTTGGGCTTAAAAACCTGGTCATTTGCTGTGTGAACTAGGTGGTGTGGAGTGGAGCACCGAGGTGCGGGCTTGGCCGTGCCATCCGCCTGTCCCCGTCCCCGGTCTTCTTAACTCTGTCTTGACACCGGGCCGAGGTAGGAGAGAAGGACGGAGTGTGCAGATGCTGTGCAAGCTCACAACCACTATAAACTAACCCACGCGAAAGTTATCGTGCCCGCTCACCTTGCTGTGGAGCACACGGTGGAGATCGTCGGAAAAGACAGTCGAAATGTCATGATAGTTAAATGGTGGCTTAGCAAATACATCCTAGAATTATTGCAAGACCTGTGGGTGTCCATTATCCTTTCTGTTGATATCTCTGGCGAAGTGGACGAGTGTTAACCCGTAGCGTCAAATAAACAAAAGTATTTGTTTCATCCATCGCGATTTTTCCATCTCTTTGACCATAACATTTTAATTTTGACCCAAAATTCGCGACCATATTCTGTTTTCTGAATATAGACAACACAGGCAAAAACCGAATGGTATCTTTCTTAATTGTTGCACGTTGATTTGACTCTAATCAATTTGTTGCTCAACATATTTGTCCAAGTTCCTTTGGTTTGTGTCCTAGCAACTGTGCTGATTTATAATCTGCCTTTTGTGACGAGTAAAGGATTGCATTTTACCGTGTCTGTGGTAAATCCTTCTTGTTCCCAGTTCTATGCTTTTTTCAGTAATATAACCATCCTCACTAAATTGTTGTGTTAAGAAATTAGTCTTAGTACTTGTTTTCAGATGTTCTTAAAAAGCGCTCCGACACCCTGGTGAAATGAAATCCAGGCATTTCGTCCTTATTCGCAATTTTTCTGTAGTGGTAACGCAATATGCAAATTCTGAAGAAAACCACCATCACGATTCATGCGCAAAGATTCCATTGGCCATTTTCAACTAAGTATCGTCTAGCCACCGAGGCATTCAAACCAATCATATCCTAGTGGCAACGCTTTGGAAAATAACGTATAAATAATTCGAGGACGTTTCCCTCCAACCGTGCTACAACCATCGCAGCGGAAAGGGAAACTTTAAATAAGGTTGAATTAAAAATATTAATCAATGAAGCTAACCTGCCGTGATCTGGGTGCTTCGAACAAATTTGATTCTTCGACAAATGCAGATGAACCATCTTCAGAAAGACAACGCAGCCATTCCGTCATCAGTTTGAGCTTGCTTAATGAGAAGGGTGAAAAGGACCTACTTGAGATTGATGAGGCTGATTCTGAAGGTGCAGACACAGCGGAATCAAGGTCCTCAGGTATGTAAACAAATACATCCCAAAAATTAATTTAATTTATTCTCATTAAATTTCATTATTTATGTGTGTATTATGAATGTATTTATGCATGTATTTATTTATGTATGTAAGCACTCTACTTCGAGGGATCGTGCTTTCACTTGTGCCCACTTTGCGGATTGCGAAATGTTTGACTCGTGCGCATTCTTTCAGTTGAGCGGCAAAGTCTTACCTTGAAAATCAAATAAACCAGGAAAATTATGTGCAACTCAAACGAACATTCAAAACCTTTAAATCATTTCAAGAGTTAATTCAGACGTGACACAGCATTCCAGTTAACAGGTTATGAACACTTTCAGAGGCCGCAAATATTGGACGTCTTCAGACATTTTTCAAAGATATCTTCTCAGTCACCAAAAAGAAAACAAAGGGGAGCATCCAGAAATGCCTGACATTTGAGATGGAAAAGCTCTTAGACAGAAACGTGAACGTCTTATTACAGATTAGACATTTTCGCGTTTTGGCCTGCCATGTGAAGCAGACTGTTTTATGTTGTAATTTTTTTCTTCAAACATGGTAAAGGAAATTTCAACATGAAAATGTGATTTTAACTTTAGTCCCGGAATTTCGAGTACGAAGTCATTCTATCACCGAACGAATTAATCGACGAAGAAGCACCCTTTTTGCTTTCGAAATAAACCGACTTTCTGCGGCTGGTCGAGAAGAAGAATTGCTTCAGCTTCTTAAGGAACATTCACAGCTCGTTCATACAATCCGTCTTTGGAGCAAAATTGGTAAAGCCTATGCAATACTTAATGAACATTGTTGATTTGCGACAGTATACTTTTTTTAATAATGCAGTTTTCAGCCAAAAAATCCATGAAACTCATGATCCAACACGAGTGCAATAAAAATAATGTATTTTTGGTTAAAAGTAACAGTTATGACAAGCTCTTGAATTTTCTGAAAGGCATAAGTCATGGCTAGTTAGTTGCTTTGTGAAATCACCTAATTAACTTAAAAGAACACTTGGTTTCAGCTGACCAAATAATAAAGTCCCTGTCTCAAAGTGATGTGAAATGGCAAATATTGCTACCCTGTGGAATATTCGAAGAAAACTCCAAAATGTAATATGTGTCTATAAGACTAGGGCAATCAAAAATGATCACCGTTATCGCTGGCAATATGCAAACCATTGGATGAATATCAAAATTTATTTACTGATATGGCCTGGCATATACTGAGAGGGAAACCACTCCTTAAGTGTACAAATACTTTATATTATGTGTGTTTTTATGGTCACTAGCGTTATTTAGGCTTTGAAAGTTCATTATTTTGTTGATCAGCAAGGCTCACACTCATTAATCTGTACTTTGAGAAACATTTGAGGGGCAAGCTTAGTTGTTCATGATCTGCTTGTATTCAGTTTTATTTTTGGGACTCGCAACACAAGTAATACAATCCGTATCTGCTTTACTGGTTGGATTAATTCAAATACTGTATGTCCGCTCGGGAGGCAGTCTATTTTCTGTAGTTTAGAATCCTCAAAGAAATAAAAAGATGCAGGTTTTGTTTGAAAGTACGTAGATTTTAATAGATTATTTTAAATGGAAGTATGCCCACCTTTAAGCAACTTGCCTAAAGATGCACTGACGTACAAAACAAGAGGAGAATTGTCAGTTGTTTGAGCTTTTCTACTGTCCCCTATGCCGAAGCATATGGAATTACTGAAAATAAATAATAAATGCAAATTAAATAAAAGACTGTTCTTTAAAGTAAGATTTCAACCCATAACTAGAAAAATTCTATTTCAAAGGGCGAAATGTTATTGTGTTGAAGATTATATAACATTACGCTTCCCAGTGAGCTCTTTAGGAAAGTCACCAGTGCTATTCTTTCAGTTTAATAGAACATTGGTGAAAGCTTCATCAAACGTTTAGGCTTAACTAGATTCCATATAGACCATATATGTTGCTTGCTTACCGGCCTTGTCTGAGTGAAACAGTTATCTTAAGTTTTACTGGTTTTTTTGCTCACTTGAGCCCCGTTCATTCACGCAAATTTGTCCTCAGTAAACGATAGCTCAGTTTTCCGACTTTTTAGATCAGATAATTTCATTTCTTGAGGAGGAGTTTGATGCTTGAGGATTAAATCAGCTTAAGGAAATTGAAGAAATAGTCATTATTAAAGGGTGCGTGAAAAAACAAAAGTATTGAGGATTACAACATATGTTCGTGATAGGCAGATCACAATCATCTGCAAAAAAAGAAAAATCCTGTAAGTCAGAAGCCTTCACTGAAACTGATCCACAAGAGATTACAAGGGGTAAGTAAGGAAACAATCGTCAACCTGTGCTAAGATTGTCAGACAGTCAACCGCTCATATGATAAGTGTGGCAAGTCAATCCAAACTGCATGTCTGAACAGGCCTAGGTCTTTTGCTTTTCAACTTCCCAAACCCATAAAGATGAACCGCATATGCCAACCTATCAATTAACTAATATTACGTTATTTTTACATACAGGAAAATCAGAAAACAGGTATGCCATTTATGAAAACTAACTCATTCTGCAGTTAAACATGTTCGTATTACATCAACGGTCAAGTGCGCTGTATTAACAAATCACATATTCATAAGTTAAAGCCTCATGGTGACTAATTAAAAATTAGCCTTCGACAAGGCCGCTGTAAGCAATATTTATGGGCACTGACGAAACTAAAACCACACTGCTTAATTTAACAAAAGACTTTCTATGTTCGCTATTTCCCACAAACCCGGCGCAAGCAGAGACGAAATAATTACTATGTTTACTTAATTAGCACTCCTCTGTTGAGGACAATTCATCTTATAAATTATCTGCCGTTTATCTAGTGTTTATTTAGTTAGCACTTCTCTGCTAGGAACAATTCATCTAGTGAACACTTGGTTGCGCTGCGCTGACCACGAGTGACATTTATCTGTCAGCTTTTATTGCGCGAAGGTGATGAGGACTGAAAATAAATTTTATTGTCCACAGCACAACAGGGTTCTGCGGACAGTTTTGACGTGCAAATGCCCACTTACCACAAGCAAACACAATCGAATAGGATTGAAGATTTTCAGTCGACGTAAGAAATCGCTTCACGTGGTTGAATGGTTCGGTCTGAATGCCAAAGTATTCGACATCTCAGCCTCTTTTTTCTGTACATATAATCATCCTGTATTTATTATAAAACTATTGAATACAATCATCATTTGCACTCCTAAGTTTTTAACGGATATTTGGACTCAATAAACTGGTTGCTACGCATGTCCTAGCGACATGAATTAAAGAAAATATGCCTGTTAATTTTTTGGCTTATAAAACTCATTTATTGTTAATCGATTAGGTTCAAGTGGCTTCTTCGCCGGGAGAATGTGGAACGTACTGATTTATTACCTATAGCGGATCTTCACAAATATAAGGCGAAGACTTACATACTTGGGAGGGTTAAACAAAACTGTTTAGGGCCTATCTATATGTCCCGAACGCTTTCAAGACCGGAATTATATTACCCATATTACTAATTAGCATTTTTCTGATGCTTAAAATATACTCGACCAGTTCAACAGTTCTTTGGCCATTCACTGGCTAACTCGAGTAGCAAAATACAACTCATGAAGACAAAGTGGCTGAAATATTTGAATAGCGTAAAAAATAAACTAAAACATGCAATTTGAAAATAATGATTATGGACACTTTTACATCTGACTTTGTTTCATTATTTATGCTGGAAAGTACATGCCCTATGATGTTGAATTGTTTAAGTGGTCATTGCTACGTTGGTAAAGACACCCGTCAGCTAATTTAGTTTTCAGGGTCTTTAGAGGTTCCCTGCGCCACTGCTGTGCTATTCCCTGCTATCAACGTTTTCAGGACGTAAACGACGGCGTATACCTGATCATGCAGCATCATGACAATATCAGTCGAAGATCTTAAATAAAACATAGTAAAATTATTAGCTTAATTTCAGTGAGTTTTGTACAGTCTTCTCACTCTCTTGTTGACATCTGTGGCTGCCTGGGAAAAGTCCATAGTACGAACTTGTAAATTTCATTGACCTGTTGTCTTACTGAAAGGCCGTGTTTAGTTATTAAGGTATTTTTGTATTATTTGAAAGATGCATAAAGTGTACAGGATGGATATGAACCCCAATGCCAAGTAGTGTCCCTCCTATCTGCCAAAAGCTGCATTGCAATCACGTTTTCAAGTAAAGGATTGAACTCCTATGGTGCTGGCGGTAGTCATTTTCCCCCTCTCTATGCTCTGCTTTGGTCTACGGCGGGCTGTGGACGGGACCCCGAGTTATATTTGCGCAGTCACATGAGGCTAAACTACACAACACTGACCAGTAAGCCCTGTCGAACATACACTATCTGCAATTATCATGTAGGAGGATGTAGCACAGACGATACCAACTGGACCTATTAGTGCAGGTGCGACTGTGGTAGCAAGTACCTTCATGCATTACACTGGCTGTCCCCACCGAACGCATTAGTGGACCTGGTGAATGCTCCTGCCTCGTCGCGATTCGGAACCCAGCTCTTATATGTGGTCCCACAAAACTAAGTCCAGACCCCCTTTTTCACCCCAAATAAAAGTCCTGTGGAGAGGACGACACGCGGTCCCGTAGGCAGTCAGGTCACTTTCCGTCGTCTTCCCACTAAGCAAAAGTCATGACCTACAGTGGAATTTTGGAGCTAGTTGAAATGACTTAGCAGTCCTATTTAAGGGTAGCAGAGCTTATTACCTCACAAAACTATAAACTGGCACTAGAAGAATGCTTATGAAACACGTCGTTGGCACGTTAACCGTAGAGTTTAGACGTTACACAACCGAATTTTATCACCAGCTGGCCAACGGTTTTGGACAGTCCATTGTATAATGGGAGAAGGAGAAAGTGGGGCTATCACTGAAGAATCCAACCCCACGACATTTCGGCGGATTCCCTACTGTATAAAACCCGACGCGCCCTGAAATTACCACGATTCGACAGAAGTCGTAGTTCGGAAGGCTACCAAGTGATTGGATAACTGTCCTGGTGGTCAGCATTGAACTTCCTCGCAATCTTGGAGTCCATCATATAAACAGTAGACCTTACAGAAGATGAACCATTTACAAACCGAACTGTACTGTACAGGTCTGAAAAGATCGGAGTCATTTTTTAACGATACCACATGAAGGAAGAAAAGCATTAAAAATCTAGCAACTGACGAAAACATTCTCATTCTTTCCGCAGACAAATGGGGCTTGACTGCGGTTTTGAAAAACATCAGACTCTAATGAGATGATGTTGTAGGTTTTGGAAAATAGCTAAACGTAGAAGCCTCTTTCCAAGACTCTACGAAGGACCAGAGTTCACCGCTGAGGCACCTCAAAGGAACGAAAACTATCATGAGATGTTGCAAAATTCCTGAGAGAACCTGAACCAACCATCGCTAAGATCTACAGACTGCCCAGGATTTACAGACCTGAAGTACCATTGCGACTGGTGGCATCATTAATCATTGCACCCAGTTACAAAATTTCTAAGCGGCTATTAAATCATGTGCACCCGCTTAAGAGAGATTATTAAACTTCTGCTAATATTATCAACAACTAGAAGGAGCTCCAATGGGACCATCTATATTTGGCTTCCTTACCGTGGTGACATTGCAGAAACTAAAATCGGCAGCTCCCCAGTTATTGAACTCTAAGTCGTCGGTGCGATATGCAGACGACACATTTATTGTCGTTAAAAATGTTCAACTGGAAACGCTCCGCAACACCATCAACTCAACCATTGCGGAAATTAACTTCATGTTCAAAAAGAAGTTGACAGTAAACTCCCATTTCGGGATGTTCTCGTACGGCAAAAGACTAACGGAATATTGCACACTTCTATTTACTGCAAAGAAGCATAGTAGAAGTAATTCTACACTATGAGGGTAGCAGTCCAAACTTTCGCAAGCAGAGTACTGTTAAAAGCCTACAACATAAAGCAAAAGCACATTGTTTTGACGAAAAAAGCTACCAAGTTGAACTTAATTACTTGTTTGAATTGTTTTCCAAGAAGGGGTGCCTTAAAGATTTTGTACGTCAATGCATGAGGCAGCAAGGTTAAAAACAAAGGAGGTAGATAGCTCCAATCAGGCATCCAAAGTAGATACTTGGCGAATTCCTCTTTAAATCAGGAATGCGTCTGAACTCGTTGAAGGACGCTCGAGGAAAGAACAGATAAGCCTGCGACTACTTTACGCACCCAGCCGGTACACCGTAGGAATAAATCTGGCTATTTCGACAAGAAGGGAGTCGTTTTTAAGATCCCGTGCACCGCCCGTGGTGCCGTATATTGTTGCCAAACAGGAAAATCTGCCTATACGCGCATCTACGACTGACCTTAGCACTGCGAACCGCGTTGAATGGTCTCTTTCTGACGTAGCCCCCATGGCCCTCCCACACAGATGGGATCCGAACCTCCATTATGTGAAAACCTGGTATATCGTGCGGGAATCTGATCGGGAGTGGCACTTCTATACGGGTTGTTTAGTTTTGCAAGCAACTCTGGGCCCGAGTCCACCTCCAGTGGTCACAAAAATCGTCTTACCATCTAAGACCAGTGGGTAATGGGTAGAGAGTGCGATAGGTGTTCCGCATGTGTGCCTCACTATGAACTTTTTCACGTGCAAGACACCGGAACTACAACTATTCCGTAGATTATCTGATAAACGTCGTCACTTTTGACGGTTGGACTGTCGTGCGTTAAATTCAAGGACAATAGCTTCCATGTTCCGAAAGTTTAATCTCAGTCATTTCTTTCTAATCTGTCTCTAAGTGTAAAAAAGTCTCCAAAATATATGTGAGTACAGAATTTTGATAGCATTTTACCCTGGAGTTCTAAGAAAGAGTGAGTTATTGTTCACTATGCCGGAGCAGTCCAGGTGTCCACACAATTACATTTAGCGCACAAAATTTATCATGCAAATTATGATAATAAAAATCTTTAACAGGGCACTATACAGACGAACTGGGTTTCATCAAAGGTTTATTGTGAAATGCAGGAAATCAAGTCAACGCTATTATTTTCACTCTGACCTGCATAGACGACCAGCAAACATACGTTATGGCAATCACCCGTGATTAAAGATGACTGTCTTAGAGCATGAGGATGATTGGAAAGTCAACAAGTAGATCACGAAAATAATGTTCACGTGTGTGCCACTAAAATTTCATACAGGATCACAGAAGAGACCACGTAAACGCAAAATAGTACAGGAAAACAAAGTAGGAAAACCGGTGTTGAGAAATAGTAGAACAGAAAATAGAAAATCAGACGAAAACAGCCCGCAAGTTAAAATGAACAAAGCAGCAAGAAGTGCGGAACAAATCGAGAAAAATTAAACACAGGAAAAATTAAAAAGTAAATGGAAATCGGCGAAATAAATGATGGAAGAAACGGAACAAAAATGACACCGGTGGAAAATGAAAAGAAAAAAATGCAGAAACTGAAATGACAAGAACATAATTATAGAAAAGCGCAAAATAAGCAAGTAAAATCGGCGCCGGGGATAAACAAAACAAGACATAATGCAAGGTCCTCTGTTTGCGTGTTTGCTACCATCAGCCAGTACTCTGCTATGGTCGGCCTCTTCGCCTTAGATGCTAATTCCAGTCAGCCGATAATTCAGCAGAGCTCTTCAGCCAGCACATTCATGTCGCCTGAGACCGAGAATGGGTGTGTATTGCAAGGAGACAGGCACGCACCAACATGGCCCGACCGTAGGACGGAAATCAACATTTTCAGCCAGCGCAGGCGAGGTAGCATGGCGCCTAATGCAGTACGTGTGCCAACTCATGAAGTATTCGCCGAAATTCTCAAATGGGTTTTGTTATTCGAAAAGATTACCGAGGCAGGGTTGTAAGACAGCTTATCATGCAGCGTAAACACAAAATATTTCCGTCACATCAGGCTGCCTGTTTTCGAAAGAACGCTCTTTTATTTGTTTGTGAAAATTGCTTTTTGTAAAACATGTCCACTTAAGTCGTCTGAAATCATTTTGTTAATTTACGATTCCTTGCAAGTTCTATCGTATTTTGTAGAAAACTTAGACAA